GTGTGGGGTCACGTAGTAGCAAAGACAAATACAACAGCGCTTTGTATGATCTGGCAGTCGCAAAACGAGTGTTGTAATGTATTCACAAAGTTTGGCTATGGCACTAGTTCGCGTAATACCTCTCGCACGTTCTGACACGCCCCTGCAATGTCCGACGAGTTCACTTGAAATGAGGACCGGGGAGACCGGCAAACACAGACGCCGGCGCCACAAGAACGCAGTCGGGTGCGGTACAACGCAAACGCCGGGTCAAATGAACGCAGGCAGGTGTCGGCAAACGCAAACACCAGTACCAAATGAACACGAACCCTGTGCAAATTCTTCATCAAATCGATCAAGAAACCACGTAGCTGAGCGCATGTTTCAGACGTGCAAGCATATATAATGGCTGGCGAACATGTCAAGCTGCTCGCTATCATATCTGTCCTTACCTTGCTATCATATCTGTCCCTTCCATACTATCTACCTCCCACTCACTCAAAGATGTCAGATTTTGGTCAGGCTCTTACTTGTTATCCTCCATGCACCTCTCAAATTATGCAACCATGGTTTCTACCTCAGAGGACGAAAATGTCCGGCGGGTTGTATCCGCGCCGCTGGCAGTGGCGCCCTCTCCAACTCACTGTGCCATGGCGATTGACGTCCTTTGCAGTGTCGTGAGTCGTATCTGTTCTCTTCGTGGTGGTACTCTCTACACTCCTTCTCGCATATGAAGCTGCTGCTTGAGCTCACTACTGTCACATCTTCTTTTCGTTTTACCTCCCAAGTTGCTGCCAAACTGCAATACCAACCTCGCACCGGTACGCGCCGGACCCTCCTCGTGATGTGCATGATGCACGCAATCCTCGTGGTGCAGACCCTCACCGTGTGGATTTACGAGAACCTCGTGGGGAACACCCTCGCTGTGTGGATTTACGAGAACCTCGTTGGGAACACCCTCGCTGTGTGGATTTACGAGAACCTCGTTGGGAACACCCACACCGTGTGGATTACGAGAACCTTATGGGGAACACCGTCGCCTTCTTGGCTTACGAGAACCACGTACGGACAACCTTCGCCTTCTTGACTCATGGGAACCTCGTGGGATATCCGTCATCATATCAGGCGATCACAGCCTGGAGGAGAATACACTTTTCACGGGGGATGCTCTTGTCACAGTGATCGTGAAAACGCATTTCTGGGATTCACATGTGCTCCCCACCGTGAAAGTGCTAGCTATCGTGGGGCGCTTAGCCGCGGACAACTATATCATTGTGACTCGAAACATGCAGACTGCGAAGCTCTCGACGACTGCTTACATAGACACCCCTAGCGTCATGTCGCCAGGGGACTTTGGCACGACTTCTGGCAGGATCAAAGGCCTGTAATAAGCCACCTTCTCAATGGCAAACACGAGGAGACTGGAACTGATACGCGTGCTCGTGGTCCTCACGACTTCATGTATTCTCTACGAAATTTCCGGAGGATGCCGAAATTCTTGGATGTTGCATACTGTTTACCTGTCTTTTGTGTGTTCTTGATTAACTGCGACATTAACAACTCGAGTCCTCATGTGTTGGCTGATACGTTACACAATCACGCAATTATCCGGGGACTCGGGCTTGTTTTGACCATGCAGCAGTCGTGCAGCAGTCGTGATTATCTGAACAGATAAAACTGCTTGTATCGATCTTGTACTGACCTTATCCACCCCACCAAAACGACGTCTTCAATTGCAATAGCATTCACCCCCGGTATACTTCAATTGAGTCTCATCCCTAATCAGACTTCCATGATGGCCGACGACAAACCGAGTCGACTCCTAGACCCAAACAACCGCGCCATCGTCATACAAAATAACCATATCGGCGAAGGTGTAACCATCAACATAAATTCGAGCAACAGTTACGGCTCCAGTGAGCTCTGCACATATCCGACTTGCCATTTTACTAACCTTCTGAATAAGCCGTAACCAAGCTAGAGCACGTCACCGACCAACCGGCAGAGCCCACATCTTTACCGTGTCCGTCACTAGCGAGACCGCTAGCCCCAGCTGACCACGGCCATGAAAGTGTAGTATTCAACGGCAACACGTTTGGCGAGCACGTGGTGATAAATATAGCATCTCCCAACTCGACTGGCGCTGGTGGGTCCTGACCTTCTGAACGCAAACTCGAGAGTTTTACGCCTATTAATCAGTTAAACAAACTGCTCTTCCATCCCCAGGCCGAACTAAGAACCGAACGAGGAATCGAACGAAGAACCGAGCCAAGAACATCTAGTGACGGGTGGGATTTGGAGAATGTGAGCTCAGCAGTCACTGATGGCGATTCTCATTTCTTCTCCATTCTAATGCTGCGAAATTCCTGTAGGCTCCACAGCCCACAGCACCGCGATTTGGATTATGTAAATACGGATCTCTCTCTCTCTCTTGGCTCCTATCCTGTCGCAATGCTCGTACATATCTACTATTTTATTTGCTTGATGACTCATGATTATATCTCATTTTTGACGTGATTCTGGTAATTCTTCGTCCACTTTACCTTGACATTTTTGCAGTTACAATGTTCTGGGATGGTTCAGCGGGTTCATTATTGGTGGTGGAAGTGAACATTTTTTTGAGTAGTATAATTATTTAATACACATACTGGGATGTGCAAGGCCTATTGTGATTAGCGACGACATGGACGCGAAATAGGCAGAGTAAAATTTAGCAGACCATGGACATTGGTCATTCAAGGTTATGATGGACCTCCAAGTTGACAGCATAGCGAGCATCCCAACTCATGATTGCATGCACGTCGCCAGAGAACCAGATTATGGTACTACCAATCCATCTACATGTATGACCTAAATTATTCGATACTGGACTAGCTAGTCATGCTTCCTAAAGCTTTCAATGTTCGATGTTCAACGTCAACTCTCAATGCCATGCGCCAGGCCATGACGAAGCACTCTGAGCCATTTGGATTTCAAAGAGGGTGCTCCAATATTTAAAAAAACTTGTTGTCAGCAGGTTTCGAACCTGCGCAGTCTACGAGAAACAGATTTCAATTCTGTTGTGATAACCACTTTGGCCAGGACAAAGTTGAAGAGAATCTTCAGGAATTAGCCATGAGTGAATGTCATGATAAGACTCATCGATGCATCAGCCTCTATCCAACCTCTATCAGCCAATTTAAAAGCTCTTCATCTGCTAGCTGCTTACAGTGTGCAACAAACTCAACTCTTGATCATGCGAATATTTTCCCAGACAACGTCACAACTCATATACTCATACCGTCTAGAAAACAATACATTGATAACTTCTACCATTCCATTCATATTCCGAGCATAGTTCACTCCGATATCCACATATCCAAAACCTTCTTCGCGGCGCTCCAGAGCATACTTTGTCCGTGAACATTGACCAACTCTTCAAGAATCGGTCTTGTGGCATCTTTCAGCCTCTGAAGTCCGTCTCCGGTTCCACGTTTACTGATCTGGCCTAAGAACGCGCATATGTTTGTTCGGACCTCAGCAGGAGTGGATTCGCTCTTTAAAGAGACGACGAGCTGATCAAGGGCATGTCGAACGGATGGCATCTTACTGGATGCGCCTGTCGGAGAAAAGACGATCGGGGAGTCCATCATTTCACTGCTGGTAGAAGCTGTTGTAGACGCCGGGGCGGACCCCGTTGAAGACGGCGTCATTTCTACTGGTAGTGGAGCGGTCAAGGCATTCAGAACTAGTGCACCTATGCAACAACGTTGGTCATTTTTCAGTCAACATCAGAAATTCGCCTCGCTCACCTCCGTCGCGATGCATGCTCAACAAGCTTAATGCCACTACGCCCTCATTGATGAGGATGAGATGCTTGGCGCTTCTTCCGATAAGGGCAGCCAGCGCTTCTGCGCATGCTGGAGTGAGCAAGGCATCCATGGCTTTGACCCGCTTCTGTTGTCTAGCTTGTTGCTCCTCTTCGCTGATTAATTCATCTCTCCGCTCGTTCATCCAGAGCGACCTGATCAGGTTCACGATGATCCGTGTACCTTCGCTTTTGATCGCGACTGTGTCGGAGCGCTTGACAATGGCGAGCAACTGGGACAGACCTGTCGAAGGAGGGTCTTGGCTATCCACTGGTTCCAGTATAAAGTTGCAAGTATTATCCACTGTAAGGAGGCGATTATTTTAGGGCACCACAGAAGCAGGTCAAAAGTGAACGCTTACCACTGTTGTTGCACAAATGCTTTATAGCACCGATGGCATTCACCTGGACTATTTCAAGCATGAAATCACTTCTGTCATCCCAAACACCGCTCCTGAGTATGAGCTGGATGACACCAGCGGCGCTAAGAGCTGCACGATTGGATGGCATCTGAGATGAGGACTGTGCCAAGTGCTTCAATAGGCCGATGACACCATGCTTTAGTTTGATGTCAGTGGACGGAGCGAGCAGGGTGTCCGACGACAGGAGTCGAGCAATGTCATATGGCTGAGAGAGTAGAATTGTTGAGTGAGATTCTAAACCAATGTCAGTCAGTCGTCCATACTACTATCTGTTACTTACCTCCACGCGTTATGTTACCCAAAGATAAAGTGGCGCAAATGACAAGGTCATCTCTCCCATTGCCGGAAGTCTCACCGTTGACGAAAGCTCTGATCCAGTCAACCATTCGTGACACAAACTCTCCTCCTGGCTGCGCATCGTCTGAATCGTCCCACAGTAAATCGAGATTCCTATCGTCTCCTGAGACTTCTACGACGGCCTTGATTACGGCAGCCTTGCAGTCATCGAAAGCCTTCTCTTTCTTACTGACGTCCCCGCCCTCGAGACTATTCTCAGATTGGACATACCACAATGGAGGATATTTTCCCTTCTCAACAAAATCGAGCATCGCAGAAAAACAGGGAACGTCATGATGTTCTGCGGGAAATGTAAAGCCGCGTGCCAGCGAAAGACGCACGTCTGCCACGTCAAGCGCTGATGACTCGAGGTGAGAGCATGACTCTGAGAGAAGGTCGAAATCTGTATTGAGAAGAGTCGTCCGTAGTTGAGAAGGTTGCGCAAAGTGAGGGGGAGGTGGCGCAGTCAAGAGTGGTGGTGTGAAGGCGATAAGTGATTGAACGAGATATGGTAACACATCTTGGGAGAACAGAGGGTGTACTAGAGCAAAATAATCATGAGAATGGCTGAAACATGACATCAAGAAATAATTGTACCATCATCTTGAAGTTCTGATATCAACCTTCCTGCCCAACTCGATAGTCCGGCTCTTATAGTCCAAGATTCGGCGATACGATCAAAAGTGATGTCAGTTGGAGATGTGTCGGGAAGATGTAGGTTAGAGGTAGTTCTCATCCATGCGGCGGGAGGGTAGATGGCTGTGGATAGCCGGAATATCGTCTTCGCAACCTCCAGCGATATGAGACGATTTCTCACTGGTTCTAGAGAACAAGTCAATATCTGTCCGTGATTAATTTAAGAATGCAACATGCCATATGTCAAGGTAGCATTCAGCAAGACTCCGACAGCAGTCTTCACAACCTGTAAATGTGCAATAGACATAGGAAACGGATCCATCTGAGGTTCTTCAGGAATAGTGTCTGTGTAGCCTTCAAGCAAGGATACGACAGCCTGGGGGAAACCTGCCTCGAGGAGGTGCCCCCTGTTCTGGTCTTGACACAGCCTGTTTAATACACTATCACGAGAAGCTATCGAGAAAAAAAAACTCACCATGCTCCACGCAAAGGTTCGCGCCAACACGAAGAATCTCGAAGACAGGTGCTGTACGACTAGCGCCCGGGATAAGCGTACCGTTCAACGCGCTGCTGAGTAAAGTAGTGAGATTCTGAGGCAGCAAAGTTTTTCCCAACATTGTGTGATTATCATCTACCAGCAATGCATAAATTTCCCCTGAGCTGCGCCGTAAACATGTCACTCTCACCACCATCTCGAACACGAAGCCCGTTTGCTAGTTGTTGGGCGGTCAACTCGACTTCTTTCCATGTTTCTTCGATGTCATTAACAGGGAGTTGTGCCACAAGATCACCCAACTTCCGAGCGCACTGAGCGCAAGTCAGGGACATCGGAGGTGTGTCCATATGTCTGATTGCAGACTTTGGGGGATGACAGAGTGGTGTGGTATATCGCGTGTGTCGGCTTGATATATAGAGCTTCGCACTGCAACAAAAATCGCCTGCTCGCGTAGAAAGCTGATAGAGTGGAGTCTGGACCGAGGGAAATCGGTTAAGGACAGTTTGCCATATGCTGAAAGATCGAGTGTGTGGCAGTGCACCTGCACTAGGTCAGTACTACTAGCATTTAAAGCGACTACAGCATCCAGTACAACGTATCCGCTCCATCGAATTCTGATTCAACGTCAACTGTGATGGCTATGCATTTTTTTACAGCCTAGCCTAGCTAGGTCTCACTTCTTATGCAATCCTATGCGTTTCATTCATATAACTTGAACTTCATGTGTCCGATACAGTGCTGTTCATCATGCTCTGATTGAACGACTTCGCCAACATTAATTAATGTGAGTGTAGATTTTCTGTAAACTTATAGTCGTAGAAGGGAGGTTTTGCTTCTCTTATTAGGACACGGTTGGCTCGTGGTCTAAGCTGGTATAAACCCAAAATTTAAAGTAAGTTGCCTCAAATGAACTTCTTTCAAACAGTTGCCTTGACTTCTTTGTTCGTGAATCAAACCTGCTGAGAAAACCCTGTGTGAACAGTTATAGAATCTATCCAGAATATCATTGACATCGTTGATGCATCAAGCCATCGAGGGCACATGATCAAGTCATGATCGCAGTTCAAATTCCCAGCCTCGACTCTGTCCGTGTCCTGTGTGCCAGCACTGCACGTCCTGTGGCCTTGCAGTGTCAAACTCGGAATGTCCGTGATGTCGTCAATCGTTTGGCAGTCCGAATGTACAGACACCGTTTTTGCTAGAGTTCCCATGCACTCAGGATATTCTGCGGATGAAATTGCCTACAAAAGGGACAAGGCGAGTGGTAACTTATCCACCGTGCAGCTACAACGTCGGCGTGTATTCGAGATCTGATTGAGAACTTTTTTGTAGTTTCGATCGTCTTTGTAGTTTACAGTAGATAAGATTAGATCTATTATGTCCAATCCCGCTTTTAGTACATGGAGCAATTGATTTCGGTGACCAAGTATCACCAAACTCCCTTCTTCTTCTACTCCGAACAGTACCACAAGAAACCATGGGAGGTTCAAGAAAGAACAAAATCAAGAAGTTCGTCTCTCCATCACATAACAGCACGCCAGACTCGAATCAAGCCCAAACCGAGGACAATGACAATGAACTCGTAGATGACCTGCTTGTGGAGCTCGACTCCCGGAATCAGACTGTACAACAAGAATCAGCTACCGTGTTGCTGGAGATGCAAGAACATCAAGAGAATACAGTTAAAGACAATGCTCGACCAGTTAAGAAAAAGCAGGATAGTAGGAGCCGACATGAAGCGCGACTGGTGAATATCTGTTCAGGACCCTTTGTCAATCACACATAACATTTAGCAGGCGAGAAAGGCAGCAGCCTTGGCTCAGAATCATCCGCCCATTGACCTGGAGGCAGACGCAAGGCTACAGAGAGAGGCAAGGGAAGAAGAAGTATCAATCAAGGAGACATGCGACAAGCTTGGGGTACAGACACATGAGGTGAGGCAGGATGTTCCTCGGTGTCAATGAGCCCCACCGAGAACTCGTCGACAGATACCACCAGATGGACATTGTCTTTTCTCTGCCGTAGCGGACCAGCTAACCCTCCTTAACATACTTCCTCCCAATCAAGCCAACTACGTCACCGTCCGCGCTGCTGCATCGAACTTTATCTACACTCACCCAGATGACTTCTTGCCTTTCTTGCCATCCGCGTTTGGCGAGGATGGTGTTGGAGCAACAAGTGCAGGCTTCATGACCCCACAGCAATTCGAACAGTACTGTATGACGATCAAGAACACTGGTGCTTGGGGTGGAGAACCAGAGATCCTGGCGCTCAGTCGAGCATATAATGTTCCAATACATGTCGTACAGGGCGGTGTCCCCCGGATCGTTGAACACAACCCGGACCCGTC